CTGTGTCCATCTCACTCACAATGAGTGAGATGGACACAGAAACATGGCACATAGCACACTAAGAACTCCTGTCTTTTTTTGTCTTTTTTTCAGTTTTTTAAGTGCTAACCTAAAAACTCTAATGTATTAAACTCTTGGAGTTTTGACAAAATTAACAAAAAGTTATCACAACTTGCCCCTGAAAGTTTATTTTTCACAAACCTACACATTTAAGTTCAAAATCTAAAACTAGCTAAATTTATTAGACTTAAAGGGTAAAAGATAATAGACACAACTAAATGCCGCTCAATTGTTTTGCAGTGCACACAGACACAGTCCTCGGTTCTCTACCCCTACACCCCCATCCTGCTCCTCTGTACAGCCCCCTCAGCCCGCCCACTGCTCTCCGTCCGTCACTCCCTTTTCTTGTCCCTCCTCCTCAGAGGACCGACTCTGTCTCTTTCTGCACTTGTCTCTCCAGTCAAGGAGAAACTAATTGGAAGAAAGAATAAACGAAAGGAACTTTTGAAATACTGAGCGCAGCAAAAGTTTACTTCTCTGCAGCATGCCTCAGAAAGGTAAGCTTCGCATCTGTTCTTAGTCTGTGTCTGTGTGGAGTCCCTCCATCACTTCTACAATCAGCATGGAGTTGAACAGTTAAATTTCACAGGAGGGAAGAACAACTTGGCCGAGTTTAGAAAGGTGAAATAAAGCCAAATTTGCGTATTTGTTCATCTTAGTTGTTCATAGCAAAATAAATAAATAAATAAATGAATAATAATAATAAATAAATAAAATAAGGAAGAAAGATAGAAGGAAAGAAAGCAAAAGAAAGAATGAATGAATCAATGAAAGGGATAAGAAAGAAAGAAAGAAAGAAAGAAAGAAAGAAAGAAAGAAAGAAAGAAAGAAAGAAAGAAAGAAAACTTGACGCTGATGAAGATTGATAATGTTTTCTGAAGAATGACATTTGTCACCAACCATCCCGGTTGTAAAGAGTTGCATCCAGACCCGGTCTGACGGACCGAGTTTTACCGGCCATGAAATCTGCTACCGAAACGGGCCTTAGAGCCATCAGTAAGCGAACCGCCGTTAGTATGCAGGACCGAACCGGGTCGGCTGCTCCGCTCGGAGTTATCTACAGTAAGGACAAGCTGCGCATGAACAACTCACCTAACAAATATTACCAAATAAATTAAGCAATCCTCAAGAAAACCCTTTTTTATTATTAATGTAATTTAAAGCACCGTGAACCCAATGGCGTTAAACGCGTGAGACATTGTCCACTATTACCAATATTTTTAATAGGAAAATTGCTGGACAATTTTTTTTTGTAACGTACTAAAAAAATACGAAAATGTATATTTTTTCAGTCTTACATAAACATTTAACTGTCATTGTGCTTGTAAAATTTACTTTTGTTTTCCTAACAACTAAGTGAATCTCAGTTTAGAAATGAGACGTTTACATTCCCAGCAAATTCTTGCAACTCGGGAGTTTTCTTTCATTTACGGAAATAAAAACGCGCAAAGCCTCCCTACAGGTTTTAACTGAATACTTTAACTAAAAGTTGATCATTGTTTCAGAATGTTCCCCTAACTTTATGCACTTCTGGAGTCTTTGATACTAAATACCAGCTGTTCTTCTAGCCGATTTTAGAAGATCAATTTATGCTCTCTGTGCAAACGCAAACTCCACTGCAGTGAGCCTGTATTTGAGGAACCGGCTGCTCACTCTTCAGATCCACTGAAACATCCCACTAAGTTATTCACTTAAGCCCGACTTAATTTGGAATCCAAGAAGTTAAAGGCTTTCAGGCTCAGCAGTCTGCGCTGAGACAAGTCTTTATTAACATCAGTAAGTTCATCTGTACCTTTCTAAAGTTCCTGTGTGATCAAGAGTTCACAAGAATAAATAGGATTCTAAAGGCGGTGGACAGTTTATGTGTTTGGCTAATGAAGAAACGGCTTCCAACTGCAGCCGGGCTGTAACAGCAGGTTCTTAGTTCTGTCGGTTCAAACCTCCGTTATCTGTTCTCCGTCAGTGTGATTAAATGATGTTATTAAATCAACAGGAAAGTTAATTTTTTTTTAAAGTCATAAGCGGGTAATTAAAGTTAATGACTTGAAAGGAGGCCCTTCAGAAAGTTATATTTAGTTATTGCAATTATTAAAAATGAGGAGCCTTTTTTATTTGTTCGCTTTTATCTGATTATTTACCAACATATATTTCGTTTTCAGTGTTGTCATTAGAACAACAGCTAGTTTTATTTTTCGCTTTTTGTTTGATTTCGAAACAAATAAATATACTTTTTATGCAAAGCGCGAAAGAATAAAATCGGCTGTTTTACTTTGGTGAATTAAAAAACGTTCACAGCCATTTGTAGCTAGAAAACTACAAATTGCTTCATTGGAATATTTGCTGGATAATGTTTATTCTAATTTGGCGTAACAGAAAGTCTGATTATCTAAAACTTGTAGCTAATCTTCTCATCCCTGAGACTGAATGAATCCATCAAGCAACCTGATGTCCATTTCGTTTTTCATTATAAGTACAGAAAAATGAATTTAATACAATAACCAAATAAAAATAGCAAATAAATACATAAAAAATACATAAAATTATTAGCAAGTCTATCTGCGTTGGGGCAATAGAAGACTTTTAAAATTAAAAATAAGTTATTATTATTATTATTATTATTATTATTATTATTATTATTATTATTATTATTATCATTATTATTATTATTATTATTTCTCAGCAGTGTTGTCTTTTTTCTCCCGTCCTTTCAGCGCACTGATCGCGGCTCACAGAAACTTTGAGCTTATCATCGGTGTGCTCCATGACCTCCTTTATGTCAGTTGTGAACTACAGAAATTAGGCTCCCCACTGCGGTTTTGTGCCACTTTCTCTCTATAAACGAGCCGCAGCTCCTAACGAGGCACAAAGGCCGGTCGGCCGTAGGCTATTTACCGAGCCGAGCCGAGCCGAGCCGCGGGTCCGCTCCTGCGCCTCTTTGTCCCCCTTTCACAGGGAGAAAAGCGCCGTGTTCCAGCGGGAACAAGGTCCCCGCAGCCGGCCTGCTCTTCTGTGGAGTTCCGTCGCCTTCATTATGTTGTTAATGACTGAAGCCTCAGATAAAGAGACGCTTTGAGGCTTTTCTTCGTAAACTTTTTTCTCCCTAAAGGCTCTGGTTGTAGGCAGCAGAATGAAAAAGTGCCATGTGCTCCCATCGTCTCTGCTGAAGCATGAATCCCAAACAACCTGTTTTTCTGACGACGAATGCCAAACGGAAAGAAGAATCTAAAGCTATCACATTTTAAAGTCCTCTGATGTCACTTTAGGCGATGTGGCAAAACAATATAATAACTGTCATTGAAAGTTATGAGTCTGGACGTCACATTTGATCAAGTTTTTATGACCGTCCCTATTTTACACTATTTTTGAGACATTTTCAAACATGTATTTTTATCTTTATAAATTAAAAAAACAAAAACAAACAAAACAAAAAAACTAAAGTGGGCTTTAATCAATTTGAGTACTCCACTCCTCATGCAAGTGTTAAAGATGTAGATTGATTTTCATTTTTTTTCTCCCGGCCAGGTATTATTTTTAAAAAAGCACATTTAAATAAGATAAGTTGGAATTACACTGTAAAAATACATTTTAAAGGGAATCAAAAGTTTTTACTTGAATTTAATTGTGAAGTATTAGTTTTGAAACAGAATAATATGCACTGGTGAAGCTCAATAAAATTCTGGTAAATTGAAAATAAAGTAAATGATTTGTGTGTGTGTGTGTGTGTGTGTGCGTGCGCGCGTGTGTGGGTGTGGGTGGGGGATAGTAAGGAGGGGGTGTTGTATTCATATTTAACCAAAGATCTTAGTTCAGTCCAGTGATATTCTCACTAGTTTTTTTGTGGTTGCAGCAGAGACAGATGGGGCTCATCTGTTCATGTGAGTTATTAATGAAATGATCGACTTAGTGAAAATGAAGAATTTGTGGTTGAGTCATTTTTGGTGTTGCTGCAGTGGTGATGGTTAGTTCGTTAGTCACAGTAGAGTCAGAAGGTTGTGGGTCTGGTTCCAGTTTTTTTCTCTTCCACTTGGTGATGTGCCTCTGAAAAAAACACTTAACCCCAAGTTGCCTACTGATCTGTATATAAATGTGTGCATGTTTGAGTGTGACTGGGTGAATGTGGCACCAGCGCTTTGAGTGCTCAGTGTGAAAAGCACTACACAGCTTTTGTCCATTTACAGTCTCAAGTCAAACCTGCTATCCAGCCCAGATTCTACAGCCAGTGAATGTCACATGACTTAGCTGCATTTGCCAGGATATCATGTAGGCTACATATTATCTTAATAAAATAAATTTGGTAAAACACAAACTCATTTTGTTCTTTTAAACCAGTGGTC